AAGTACAATATTATTTTCTTCGTGCGAATATGTAGATATAGATAAATGTTTGTCGATGTTTGTTATCTCGTGAACATTACCTACCTACGCACAATGTTTGATGTTTTGATTTGAGTGTATGTGTAAACATTGAATATTTTGCATCGAATTGCGACCTTAAAATTCAGACGTCCGTGATAAGACCCGAGTAAATAATTTACTAGTTATTATTATTAATCCGAATGCGTGATAAATAACACAAATGTTGTATATTTATACCACCGATTTAATAAGCAATTACAAATTAGACTAGATAACCTGGTATTAAACATAGGTACGTATTATGTATAATATGATTACTATATGCCTACCCGGTAATAATATTATATTAATATGTTGGTAGACAAGTCATCCTTGAAACTTGAGATGTTTAGAGTTTATCATAATATCTAGATTAAAGCAACATTTGTAAGTATAGTAATATACTTTACAAGAATTTTAGATATAAACCACTTTACAAAAATCAATTTAACAAATAACAATATACAATAATTTTGTTAACGTAATAAATTTTACTTTTCGTTAATCTTAACACCTTAACTTTAAAATTTTACAAACAGTATAATATACACGAACCACACGACGCACGCATAGCTACATAAAAAATACTATATATTAGCATATAATATACCTATTAGGTACCTACGTTACATAACCATGTGGAATATTGACATATATACGTAATATTAGAATTAATATTTTTAAAAATATAATATATGTATCTAATTGCGTTCTATTTGGTGTAATTTTATTAGGAATTCACTATATTGAGAGAAAATTATAAGAATTTCCAATAAACATTTTAAACTATGAAAAAAAAAGATTAGGTATATAATATTTCAACATTTTTTGAATTCTCATCGATACATGTCAAAAAATAACTTAGTATGAAAGCAAATTAATACATGAATTACCACACGTATAATAAATTATCATAAACAACTAACAAATAACAACACATCTTTAGAACTTTAATGTATTTAAATATACCTATATATTTAAATTCCCAAGGACTAGTACTTCGCAGTCAAACTTTAAGTAGCATTATTTGAATATATTTCACAGCTTTAAGTTAAAATTTCGTGGAATTTACATAATATTTTAGCGTGGCATTTAAGCAAAATATTTACTATCCGACGTCCAAGCTGATGATTTTTTTTTAATGAACACACGTTATTTGTGAGTAAATTTAACATAGATGTTTCAAAGGTTTTATATTCTACATTTTTACAACTTTTATAATTTACTTTGACTTAACTTATAATTATTTTTTATTGACATCAAATTTAAATATTAAAGTAAAGTACCTACATTACATACTACTTAGGCACCTGGCACATGGCCCATAAACGTTATCTTCTATCGATAACTTACAATATTTCAAAATCGCAATAAATGTAATCGTATTATGATTTGTATTACACAATAGCGAATACAGTTATTGATATACATACTCTTTACCAAGAAATACGTTATATATTATAGGGAAGCTAATAAAGTTATTTAGCACTTAGGTAATATTAGTACTAAAATCATAGTTCTCTGTAAATACATATCATTATTTCAATTAGATAATCCTTAAATTGTATTATTATTATATTATATTATAGTAGAGAACTCGACATTTTCATGTCTACTAGGTATAGGTACCTACGCAGAGAACAGAAACAAATTAGAATAATAAAATCAGACATTTTACTGTTGTCATTTTTTTCCGCTATACTTACTTTGGTAATATTAACACTTAAAATACCTAAACAATAGATAGTTTAGAGAATCTATAAATAGTATTATATGCATCAATAGAGAACTCGTCATCAAAACAGAGTTATTCTATTCCATTATTTTTTTTCCTGTCTTATCCCCGAATTCACGTCGTAAAGAATACCTATTATGTTTCTATTCAACACAGAATTTGAATAGTTTGATCTGTTTACGACAATATTATATATTTTATACTAACTATATTTCAGGTTTGGGTGAGCGCCGTGGGTCAAAACCTAAGCTCCATCGGTATTGCCTTCGGCCTGGTAATTTCGTTCTCTTCGTACAACCGTTACAACAACAACATAATGGTGGACACGGTGACCATATCACTCATAAACGGCGTATCGAGTTTTGCAGTGGGACTATTCACGTTCGCCACTTTGGGTAGCATGGCCAAGGAATACGGAAAGCCCGTGGAAGACGTCCTACCGGATGGTAAATGACACTATGATAATAAAATTAATAATAATTAATTGGTAATAACAATAACTTAAGTAGGTATTTATCGTCGGTTGTGCAGTGCTGTCTAAGCACATAAAAGTATGCTTACTCAAAAAAATATCATGACATAAAAATGCATGTATAGGAACTTAAAAACGCAAAAACCTGTTAAATCGCACAATATATTATTGTGGCGAGAAGACGATTGGTTATTGAAATATAAACTCATTGTATATACATTGCACGTCGATAGGTATACTGTTAATAAGACACGTAATGTATGTTGTCTAATTAAGCAACAATCCTTGCAATAATAGTGACTCATGACCAGTAGGTAATAATAGTTTATAATATAACAAATTTATTTCTTCACCTATTTTATATTGTATTGAGCAGGACCAGGAATCGTGTTCATCCTGTTCACGAAAGTGTTATCCAGTATGCCGTATTCTACCTACCTGTCGATGTTACTGTTCTTCATGATGTTTTGTCTGGCCCTGAACAGCGAGGTAATTTAGCATATTAAGCATTCATAACAATGCCCTGCGATTGCATGCAGAGGAGCTGAACACGGGTATCAACTGGGGAAAATTCCCCAGAACTATTTATGGGTGGGTGGGTGATAATAAGTTATCAGTCATTAGTGGTATTTAATATTTAAACATCATCATAATTCAACAACAGCAGTAAGTGTAAAGAATAGGCAATACAAGTATGAGTACGGCAGGTCACCTAGCAGTATATATCGCGATTATAATGCACTATTCGTGAGTAGCTAAACATTTTTTTGAAGTAGGTGGGTCTAAAACCAGAATTTTTTCCCCATTTCATGAAATTTAGATCGACGCCCAAATGAATTGACATTTCTACGCCACGTACCTACTAGGTACGTACTACCTACCTATCCTTGTAGAATATGTAACTTCTGTTAAAAAGTCTGCAAACGTAATGTAATCTCGTTGACGAGCTTGATAAATAGTAATCCCCAGGGGACTAATAAGGAGTTTCAAAAAACCTGTGTCCAAATAAAGTGGGGTTGTGGGTGACAATAACTCACGCAGAAGTTGTCTCTCTATAACTTTTTGCATAACAAAAAGTATCCAGTTTACGTTGAAGCGTATACGTCACCGCCTCGTAAAATAATTGAATTCTTACTTTGTTTGCTGGTAATTACACTTATTTATTTCATTTCAGTTCGCCATCGTCGAAGTCATCGTGACGTCCATACAAGATGGATTTCCACGCGCTGTCAAAAAATATTTAATCTGCCACGAACTATTGGTCTTGGTGGTCTGCTTTGCTTCGTTTCTACTCGGACTTCCACTTGTCACACAGGTCTGAAAGGCGTCATTAAAATTTTGTTTTTCACTATTAATGCGTATTTGTACTTACACTGCAAATTGCAGCAAACACGACCAACTGAATTATATCGATCGTTTCGTCGGTTTGCTTTACGTGCTGTTCACAGGGTGGTACATATTTGTTCCAAATAATTGACTATTACACTTCTACGTGGTCGGTGATTTACATTGCTTTTTTCGAAGTGATAGCAGTGTCCTGGATGTATGGTGGTAATAAAATTGTAGCGGACATTGAAAGAATTACGGGAACAAAACCGTTGTGGTTTTTCAAATTCAGTTGGTACATTACTACTCCTCTTTCACTATTGGTAAGTTATACTACCATGATATTGTTCGATATAAAACAACAATATAATATGTGCAGTGGCGTATTTATATGCAGGCACTATAGGCACGTGCCTACAGCGGCAAATTTTGAGGGGCGGCATATTTTTCAAGGGTTTTTTTTTCGATAATTATGGTATTATATATTGACTTGGTGAGACTTATTATATCGTTTTATGTTATTGTAAAATACTCTAAAAAAAAATAAAAAAAATAGCCACAACAGCATACAAGATTAGTTTAAATTATTGAAAACAATGGCATTGGCTTAAAATAGAATTCGAATTTATTATTTTTATAGTTTCTTACCGCCGCGCGCCGTGCCGCCGTCTATTGGGAATATTATTCAAGCCGCGACGGCGCGGTCAGTGAGCGTCTATAGAACATATTTATAACAATTGGCAATAATAATAATAGTATAATCTAATATTATCAAGACGGCACGCCGGTTCTATACGAATATTTTGTTGATATTTTATTTTATTTCTGGAGAAGTGATAATAATTAATTATAATTCAGTCTGTGCGTACTGGCCGTATTGCGTAGTGTAGAGTTCTTACTGCTGTAGCTGTGTCGCTTTTATTTGTCTACTTATTATATCGTTGTTGTTTTTTTTTTTAATTATCCTATTTATTTTGTGAATATGAGTACGAATAGAAAACGGTTAAGTGGTGACCAATACAAAAAAATTGCAAAATTAAAAAGTGAAAAGTTGCATAATGTTTTAAATAAAACACACAAATTGACTGATTTTTTTAAAAATCCAGCTTCTACTTCTGATAGTTGTAGTAGTAATAGTAGCACTAACACTATAGATATTCCGAAGAAAACAGATGCTCAGGTTAGTGAAACAACAATTAGTTTATCTGTTGAAGTGGACAATATTGAACCTGAAGATAGTAAATGATAGTAAATGAAATCATTTTCGAGACAGACCCAGTTAAATGGGTTATTAACGACGAATTTCGCGACTATGTTGCAAAAAATGGTTTTAATCAAAATATGACAAACGGTTTTATTAACTCCAAACGTGTATATTGTGATAAAACAAGATATTTGACCAACATTATGTTTAATAGACGATTGATTAATGGAGAAATAATTGTTCGTTCATGGTTAGTTTATTCTCCAAGTTTAGGAGTAGTTTTTTGTGGGCCTTGTCGTATATTTCAAACATCTTTAGAAACTCAACTTGTTACTGAAGGATTTAATGATTGGAAAAATGCTATTAGCCGTTTCAGTTACCACGAAAATAGTAAAGAGCACAGAGATGCTATTATTAATTTAAAACATAGAGGTAATGTCTTGGGGCGTATTGATTATTCATTGATTAAACAATTAGATACAGAAATCGAATATTGGAGAAATGTGTTGAAGAGAGTAGTCGAAACTATTAAATCGTTAGCTTCTCGTGGACTCCCATTTCGAGGACATGATTCGTGTTTTGGTTCTGTACACAATGGTAATTATTTAATGTCACTCGAATTAATCGCAAAATTTGATCCGTTTTTAGCCGATCATATAGTTCGTTTTGGAAATAAAGGTAGTGGCTCTACATCGTATTTATCTCACGTGGTATGTGATGAGTTTATTTTATTAATGATGAAAAAATTAAAACATAATATTGTTAAAGAATTAAAAATATCAAAATATTTTTCAATAAGTATTGATTCGACGCCAGATATTTCGCACGTCGACAAATTATCATTTATGGTGAGATATGTCCTCGAAACAGGTCTTCCTGTAGAACGATTCTTATGTTTTGTTTCAAATCCAGGACATAAAACTTTAGATTTGACTAATGCCATTACCAATACTTTAAAATCACACGATATTGACATTTCTGACTGTCGAGGGCAAAGCTACGATAATGCTAGTAATATGTCAGGCCAATACAGTGGAGTTCAGGCACGAATAAAAGAAATTAATCCACTTGTTTATTATGTACCATGTAGCGCACACTCGTTAAATTTAGTTGGCATATCTTCTGCTGAAAGTTGCTCACAAGCATCAATGTTTTTTGGATTTATACAACTTCTTTTCCGCATCAACGCATAGATGGTCAATTTTGCAATTAAATATGAAACATAATGCTAATACAATTAAGAGTTTATCGAATACTAGGTGGTCGGCTCGCGCAGACGCATGTCGAGCATTATATAATTCGTGGGACGAAATTATTAATGCATTGGTCACTATCAAGGATGACATTTTCGAAAAATGTGCTACGCGAAATGAATCAAATGGTCTTTATAATCAAATGCAAAAATTAGAAACATCATTTATGGTAATTTTCTGGAATCATATATTAGAACGATTTAATGCATCAAATAAGCAACTACAATGTGTTGAAATTGGAAATGATAAAGTTTCTCAAATTTATACATCACTTATTAATCTAGTACAAAAAACCCGAGATAATTTTAATGAATATGAAACTAAAGCTAAAAAAATATCAAAGATTACAGAGTACAATGTTGATATAACTCGACAAAAAAAAAAAAAAATACACTTCGATGAAAAAGCTGAACAAACTGAGTTAAGTGGTGGAGATAAATTTCGAGTTGAAACATTTTACGTTATTATTGATAAAATTACTAATGAACTTGAAAAAAGACACCAGTCCTACAAAACGTTTTGTGATTTATTCGAAGTACTACTAAAAATTACATCTTTAAATTCTTTGAAAATAGTTGAGTCCGCCGAGAAATTGCAAAAAATGTACCCGAATGATTTGGATAATACATTTTCGTCAGAATGCTTACATTTGCAATCTTATTTACTGAATAGTAATATCGATATTGACATCAATATTTTAACTCCAATCACACTGTGTCAGTATTTGAGAGAAAAATCTTTACATATTGAAATATTTCCAAATGTTGACACTGCATTAAGAATTTTCATAAGTGTACCAGTATCCAATTGTACTACCGAGAGATCATTTTCATGCCTCAAACGTGTAAAAAACTACTTAAGGTCCACTCAAAATGATGAGAAGTTAAACAGCTTAGCATTATTCTCTATAGAAAATGAAATGTTAAAAGAATTGAATTGCGAGGATTTAATTGACGCATTTGCCAAAACCAAATGTCGACGTAAACCGATCGTTTAATAAATAATTTATTATATGTAAGACATTTAGAATGTATACAAACATTTTGTAATTCCTTTTTTTCTAATATTTTTCAACTTAAATTATTATTCATATATATATATATATATGTATTTAAAATGTAATTAAAATTTGTTTTGCATACCTACCTAATTAAATTTTATTTTATCATAATTAAGGGCGGCAATTTTCCGCAGGCCTACAAGCAGTAAATATATAAATACGCCTCTGAATATGTGGGTAGGTACCTAAAGCCTAAAGGCACCACAACCCTCTCCATATTAAGCTAAAAGGATAATTTTCCATTTGGCCCTTTCTGATATTACATCGAAGTCAAAAACGAAATGCACATAATATTAAAACTTAATTTCTAAAAAATATCGATAAAATAATACCTATATTATGATCACAGTTAAATGTCTGAATAATAATTTAACTTAACCTTTGTTTTTTTCTTGTTTTATTAGTTTGTATGGGCTTTTAGTTTAACAGACTATGAGCCACCGACCTATATGAATGGCACTCGGAACTTTCCCACTTGGGTCCACATGATAGGGTGGTCCATGGTTATGATCTCATTGACATGTATACCCATCATGTCGGTTTATACGTTCCTACATTCCGAAGGAATGACATTTTACCAAGTAAGTTGAACAACTACAAAATCAATTATTATAAAATAATTTGTTGAAGAAAAAAATTATATGACTTAATTTTATAAAGCAGACCTGCAGTTTTCATTGTACTTTTTTTTTTTTTAGAAACTTCACAGATCAATAAAGCCCAAATCAAATGAATTTGGTGAGCTGCCAATTGCATCGAAAGACAACTTAAAAGAAATGGCTACTTTAATAGAATACAAAGCACCTCAAATACCACCTATTATTGTCTTCCCAGAAACTGTTAAAAATAGTAAATATAATAATTTATGATTGTATACCAGCGATTTTTGTTCACAATTACACCCTAAAGTTGTTTTTCACAAATAACGATTTAAATATTATTTAAATTATAATATACTGTCAATGTAACATACCACACACACATTCCATACGCCAGCTATAATATGGTACACTCAACAGGTAGGTACGACTCATTGTAACCTGTACGTACATGCATAACTGAAAATATTCAATAATATGTGTATTGTATGTTAAATTTAACTCACAACTTTACCTACTTTATTTTTTATATCATTTATAATGCTATGTGGTTTCTAATCGATTCTAATGCACATTTTAAATTATAAACGATATGAGTTTTGAAAATATTACCATAAAATAAAACAAATTTACCTTACACAGATTAGATTTTTTTTTACTTTTATATAATATAATTTTGAATTTGTTAAGGCGATCATTCATCGTACACTTTTTAATATTTATAATGAACATAGATGTGTATTGTGTATAGTTCATAAATCATAAATTATATTGTAGGTACCTAACATAGTATATTCGTAGTCATAAATAGATGATATTTATTAGTACTACTTATCTGCTAACTTCTAGTGCACAATCGTATTGTAACAAAAGTCAAAGCCCAAAGATAAAATAGGTATTTCAAAAAAACGTGTTTTTATCAGTAGGTAGGTGAGTTTTTATAAAAGAAAAAACAATTGATAAATATTCAAAAGACCTACGAGTTCAAACACTTCAATCAAATAACAATCGGTTTCAATGGATTAAACAAAACTCTTTTATCTAACAGATATTCCCCGTATCCAGTGCCCCTGGACTTCCACCCCCGTAAACCGCTACTTGCTTGAATAAAATGTTATAAAAAAATGCTAGGTTCCTAGTTTCAGTCGTGTCTTTTATCACAGAAGATCTATATTATGTGATCGAGGAGTTCAAAACTTTAAATGACACTACATGACTATTATTAGTATTATAATTTAATATTTGTTGTGAGATTGTTTTAATTTAGTAGTAAGAATAAAATAATAAACTGTTTATGTAAACTCATTGAGACAAATATTCTGGTCCTGAAGAACTCTTACAAAAGTGTTTGTTTTGATTGGTACTTTGGGTAGGTCAAAAATCCCAGTAATTTCAAAAAAGATTGAGAAAACTAACATAAAAAATTCAATGAATGGGAATATCAAAATCGATTTTGGTTTTTAGTTATAATTCAAAAATTAATAATCATAGAAATTTGGAAACAATATTATAGCATTATAGCCAATAGTAAATGGCAATAGATAAAACATTTACATAATATGAATGTTGTTTATGAACATATAATACAAAATATACATGTAATTAGATGTAATTTATAAATTATAGAGGTAAAAGAAAACTTATTTTTATCCTTTGATAACAGCAATTGGTCTTAACTTTACGGTCTTTTTACTAATCCCTGCCTCATGACAAGTGTCTACTACATCAGTAACATTTTTATACGATTCAGGTGCTTCTTCCATTACCAATTTAGGCGAAGCCACTCGAATAGCAATCCCTTGTTGCTGCAATTTTTCTAATACATCATTATAGTCTATGTTCCTACGAGATTTAGCTCTCGACAATGCACGTCCCTGGAATAAAAAAAACATCTCTTTAAATATATTAAAATTAAACAAGTAAACAAATTGAATAAAAAAAATCACTTACAGCTCCGTGGCATGTAGACCCAAATGTTTCGTTCATACCCTGTTCAGTTCCAGTCAACACATATGAACAGGTACCCATAGTTCCACCGATCAATACTGGTTGGCCGGTTAGTTGGTAGTCAACTGGAATAAGAGGATGATAAGGCGGAAATGCTCTTGTCGATCCCTGAAACAATGAATAAAATAATGTTGAACAAATAGCATATTATTAAAATACAGTAATTAATAACTTCTATAAGCCCATGTTCTAAATACCTTTCTGTGCACCAATAAGTGTTTAGGTTTTCCATCAATATAATGTTGTTCCATTTTTGCAATATTGTGAGATACATCATATATGACGTGCATGTCTAAATCATCTGGAGTCAATTTAAATTGTTTTGCAAAAGCCTTTAAAAAAAATAAATACTAATTAATTATCTATAAACAAATTGACAATATTGTTGTCACTATACATACTTGACGTGCTAAAAATGTCATTGAACTTCGATTCACCCAAGCAAAATTAGCAGCAGCTGACATGGCTTTTAAATAATTTTGACCTTCATTGGAATTGATACGAGCACAAGCTAATTGTCTGTCGTTAACTTCAATATTGTCCCGTGCCATAGCCTTTTCCATTTCCAGTAAAGCATCTTAAGTAAAGAAAGTCTTAAATACATTTTTCTTTCCAATAAAATCATACTATTTACTATTTGGTTTATTTTTATAAATTATAATTAATATACTATTCAAATGTATTTATTTATCAATAATCATTTATGGCCATGTATTTTCTATATAAGTTTTGAAAATATCAGTTTACTTTTAGTTTAATATTTGTACATAAATTATTTTTTAATTCAAAACTGTTCTAAGAGCCCGGATTTAGATACACTAGAATCCTAACAATATTCATTAAACATGCCTTTTAACTGAACAAAGATAATGCATTAAAAAAGTTCAAATATGCACTCCAAAATGTTCATATACTGTATGCAAGTACATAACAAATTATAAGCTGTAACTTTTTTATCAGTAACACCATTGTTGCTGAAACTGCAAGATCTTTTAATGTAAAATTAAACATTTATAGAAATTAAAATTGGTTGACAACTGTCAACTAAGGTTGTATTTATGTTTTATTGTCTTAAGATATTAAGACACTAAAATATTTCTTAAAAAAGAAATAATAATTTAAGTAAAATCATGAAAATATAACCTAAGAACTAATTAAATTGTAAAAATACACATCATTTTATAAAATTTAAAAAACGTCATACAACACAATATAATGTGCTTACATTGAATACCATATGACCACTAGAAAAAATATGGAAAAGCATTTTAATCTGAGCTAGACATAAAAAATATGCATGTATAAATGTACTTATCAATGGATTTACAGGGATGACTCACAACATATTAAGATTTATTAGACAAAAGCTGAGCGGCTTAGTATGTACGGAGAATTATCCACTAAGAATTTTATCTATCACTAAAAATACTAAGCAAGAAAGTCTTTTATAAAATGTGTTTTATATTTTTATATTTTTAATATAAGAAGTATTTATATCGAGCTTAAAATTCAATTTTACCCACACCTTATAACATAATATAATACAATATATAATACCAGTTGCCACTTGGTGTCCAAAACCACGACTTCCAGAATGTATCATAACACATACTTGACCAATATTTTCAATTCCCATTTTCTTTGCGGCCCATTTATCATAAACTTCATCAACTACTTGTATTTCTGCGTAGTGATTACCTGCTCCTAATGTTCCTAACTATAAAAAAGCATATAAATATTCAAAAATTCAAAAATTCAAAACAATAATTTTGCTTAGCACTTAACCCAGGCATCTCAAACACGTGGCCGACGTCTCATTTTTTTATAGCTAATAAATACTTATATTAATGAAGAATTGTAATTTTATAAAATAAATTAATAAAAAATTATAAAAAAGTGGGCAAGTAGGTATCGCTCTACTGCACAGTAGGTTACAAGTGGGTCACAGTAATGGATGATGTTAAATTTAAGTTCAATGATATGATATTATTGTACTCAAAAATCGATTATGGGTGAAGACTGTCAGTCATCTTATGATATATTACTAATTATATTTGGTGATCTTATTGTGAAAGAAGTAATTTATTTACCTATTTAAGTAGAACCTTGTTTTAGATTTTCAATCCTTAGCTATAAAAGTTGAACATTTAATACATTTTTAATTTAAATTTTGATAAATTTTGTCAAAATTTGAACTATAAATGCTTGTAAAAAAAATTTGTAGATAAGTATTTTTAATATTTTTCTACTTCTGAAGTAACAATATGTCAAGAGCCTTATATTTAATTTTCAAGCTTTTTGCCTAATGAATGAAATTTTTTTACATTTATAGAAAAAAAAACTAAAAAAATTGAAAATGTCTGTGAACAATTCAAAACGAATCAAAATATTTTCAAATTTTATCAAGTATAGGAATTGATACAATAAACATAAGATATAAATTTCAAGTGTAAGGTTTTTCGTTTTTGAATTACAACAAAATAAAAAAATCGCTACACGAGAAATCGAGTGAATATCCAATCTTGTAAAAATATAAACTTCAAACGCTCATAAAAATTTAATTTGACTTTCTTTCAAAATAAAAACACATCATTGTGAAATCAATACAATGATCGCTCCGCTCAGAATCTATAATTGTAATTTAGTGTCATGACTTTATTAGAGATAGGTATGCATTATATTACTTTTCTGTCTTATCTTCTGATAAACTGTAATCGGATAAATATTAGTATTGTATAATATTGTAAGTAATGAATAAAATATTATTTTTTTCAATACATTTTTATGTCCAGCCCACATATTAACATATTAATCTATTCAATATATTTAGCTGACTTAATACTTTGAGTTTGACATGCCTGGCTTAACTATGCAATATTCTTAATTAACAATTTACCTGCGGTAAACCTCGTTTTCTAGCCCTCATGCTAACTTTAGACGAATCTGCATTCAACATTCTACCATTTTCTTCACAATGTTCTTTGTCTTCAGCCCATGCATAACCTGATATAAATATAATTTTTTTTAAATAATATTTCAAATTTTAATTTGTATAACCTGATGTTTACCTTCTCTTAGAGACCAATCCATCCCCATTTCAAGTGCTTCTTCTAAGTCGTTTGCATTCATCGGTATGATTCCTTTTGATCCTACCCCAACAGGAATATGATCAAACATGCTTTGAGCTAATTGTTCCTAAATAGCATTGGGGTAGTATTACATATCAAAATATATTGATGGTAAAAATTAAATTAGTATTATAA